TTTGGAAAGCACAGAAAGGGGGGAAAGATCAATATCTAACTTTCAGAAGTGTCAAGTCAGAAAATCCATCCAATTCAGGTCCTTGAGTTAGAGTCAATGAAGTGAGGGAAGGTTTAGAGTACTTTCTAGGATGAGGATAATATTACAAGGTCAAAAATAATAATAAATGGAAAAGTAGCAAAAGGACAGTCTTTTCTAGAATGGTGCTTTGCCATGAAGGCTGGAGGCCCTCCCAGACGGAACGGGTATCCTATGATGACCCTAACAGGTGTGCTTAGGAGAGACATGAGTAAATATTCAATCCTATATTTTCCTCTGCAACTTCTTTTTTCTTTTTTTTTTTCTTAGAGAGCTAGAAAGAGAGTGTGTGTCAATGGGGGGAGAGGGAGAGAAAGAGTCTTAAGCAGGCTCCACAGCCAGTGCAGATGCAGATGCAGGGCTCAATCTCACAACCCTGAGATCATGACCTAAGCTGAAATCAGGATTTGGACACTTAACCGACTAAGCCATCCAGGCACCACTTTCCTCTGCAATTTCTAACTCCATGACTGTGTCCCAGAGAAAGACATAATTTATGATGTGACCATTTTTGTATATTTCTATATTGATAATCCAAAACAAAGCTCAGAAAAAAACATAGCCTGATTCTGCAGTGCATTTTGATTCTTAATATATTTTATCTGCAAACAGGACATTTAAAAAAAATCCTGTTTGCAACCCACTAAATTTTTTTGACACTCACAATCTGAAAAACATTATTCTAAAATAAAGGGGAATTGGATGCTTGAGGGTCTGACCAGGCACTCTCAACACAGAGGAAAAATCACTGAACTTGGAATTGGAAAAACTGAGTTCAAATCCGGGTGAAAGCCTGCACACATAATACTGCCTGTGGCCCTCAATTTCCTCATCCAAAAAATGAGGAAATACCATCTTCTCTATCTACCTACCTCACAAAACTGTCAAGGAAAAAAATAATTTTTCAAATGTAGAAATTATGGATTGTGTAACTTGATTATCATCATTATTGTCATGTGACAGATAAGAGTAGCATCTCCTCAATAAGATAAAAATAAAAAGTGTTGATCAATGCTTCCAAGCTTTATGACCCCATTAGCCAGAGGTTTCTTTAGTAGGGAGAGAATTATTTGGGCAGGGATTGTTGGGTTGGAAACCTAGAGGCCATGCTGACGGTGCCTATGGGGATGGCTGGTGAGGAAAATGTCCAGGAGGTGGGAATGGTGCCAGAGAAGTCGGACCCATCTATTCATCCGCGAAGAGGGAAGGCATAAACCTGGCGCCAACAGACCTGACCCTGACCTCAATCTTAACCTTGCTTAGCTGAGTGTCCATGAGCTTTGAGGAGGCTCCGTTCCCATGTCTGAGAAATTGGGGACATTTTAGATACATATAAAAAATATGTAATTACCATCGATCCTTGAACAACATAGAGATTAGTGATGACAACTCCTGCATGGTTGAAAATCCACATTTGTCTTTTGGCTCCCCCAAAACTTAACTACTAATAGCCTACTGTTGACCAGAAGCCTACTGATAACAATTAACACATATTTCATATGTTACATGCATTATATATTGTATTCTTCCAATAAAGTAAGCTAGAGAAGAAAATCATAAGGAAGAGAAAACAGATTTATAGTACTGTACTGTATTTATCCAGAAAAAATTCACCTATAAGTGGACCCATGCAATTCACACCTGTTGGTCAAAGGTCAAGTATATGTAATATTAAATATGATAAATATATTATTATATCATATAATTCTATTCATATTTATTTAATAGAACCATATTTAATAATTTTAATTATTTGAATAATAGTATCTGTATATATTCTATAAGATATATAATTATAGGTAAATATATATAATTAGGATTGTTCTAAGGATCAGAGACAATAATGTTATACAGTAACTAATGCAGTACTTGGTGTAAGGCAGGAGCCAAGCCGACAATAGCTGATAGGTTGCTCTCATTTTATCTGTGTGAGTTGGCAGGATCTTTCACAAGTAAGAAAAAAAATCACTGCCTTCAGAGAGTGGGTGAAAGGCCACGCTGAGCTGGAGAATTTCAGATACCTGTGTGCCATGTAACTAAAGCCAGACCCGTGGTATTTATTCAGTGCTAGACACAGACACTCCAGGACACCTACAGGAAAAGGTTTTCAGCTAACTGGGCCAGAATGGGTCACAGACAGGGAGTGATGTGTGCACATGAAGAGGTTAGTGGGTTGGGGCTGATGGTGTGAGACGTCTACCCAAAACATCAGAGTCACCTGAGGATCTTTCCATCACCTGGCCTGGACTCTTCAGGGCCTAGAGAACCAGAAAAGAATTTCAAGGTCACATGTCTACGTGTAATTTTGCAAAAGCTCCCTGGACAATTTCCATCCACTTCCCTCTCCACCCTGTTAAGATCCAAGGCCATGGCATGGAGCCAGTTTGCCAGAGGGTCAGAGAGGGACAAGTGGTCCTTGGGCATCATGTATCAGAATCACACTCTGCATGAATGCAGATTCCCTGGCCCCCATACCTACTGAACCACACGTTAGGGATGGAGTCGGGGAGCCCATATTTCTCCAAGTTCCCAGGGGATCTGATACATAAGTCAAGTCCACACAGTCTTTGTTAAGGGGCCGGAGTAAGGAAGGATTAGGAGATGAGGCAAGTGCTAGATGCCTAGGAGACCTCGGGTCGGGGCAGGTGAAAGAACAGCCAAATATTTGCCAGTGTAGAAGTCTCCCAGCAGGCAGTGACAAGGGCTGGAGCCCTGCAGGAGGAAGAAGAGACACCAAGCAAGACATGGCCTCAGAAAGGGTCTGGTTGCTCCTGCTGTTGTCTGGACTAAAGGATTCCTGCTAATGTTGGGTTAGATGTCTTCTCTTATTTCCTCTAGCAGAAAACCTAGCTTTGGAGCATGTGTTTGTTTCTGTGGGGAGGAGGCTAGAAAAGGAGTGAGGAAAGGAAGCCCAGTATATCCTAGGATACAGGTGTGAGCCCCCCAGATCAATTTCCCGGTTGTTTGCAGCTAAGGCCAGACACATTCTTTCATTTTCTCCTCATTAAGCCAGAATCACTGTGGATCCTCCAACATGAAGAGAGGAAAGGGAAGAGAAGTGCCATGTGTTTGAGCAGTGGTGCTATGCCCAAAATGGCACCAGGTCCTTTCCAGGTATCAGTCAAGGCACTCGGTACTCACAGAAAGCCTACACAGTTAACATCATTACCCCCTTTTACAGATGCACAACTGAACTGCAAGGCATTTGTAGAGTTAAGGGCCTCCCTGGCCTTCTGATGCAGCCAGCAGTACACTCTGGAAATGCAAACAAATCTTTACTAGCTCTCAGCGGTGAAGTTTGACCTTCATCCTCTTCCTTCTGCAAGACCTACCCACCTCCCTAGCCCCTAGCAAAGTTCGTCTGCCTGGATACCTGGAATTGCACCCAGTGACTTGCTCTGCTGGAGTGAGCATCACTTTCCCTCTCTTGGGTCCACTTTCAAACTATAATTGGCTCTATGTAGTTAGTCATAATCTTTAGGATGAATGTGTTCATGAAAATACTTTCTTCCCTCACTACGAGGAAAGGTTGTCATTAGGGCTACCAGAATGAGGCAGAGTGGAGCAGGGAAAGGGATCCAGATGGATGTCAGAGATATGTGGATTCAGATCTTGACCAGGTGGTTTGAAGCCAGTTGTAGGACACCTTGGATGTCCCATTTGCTCACCTGGGAATTTGGGAAAGTGGTATATATTTTTACAGTTATTATTAGGAGTTAATAAACTAGATAATATACAGAAAAGCATCATACAGCAAGTTAGTTTCCCCATCCAAGGCTTCCAAAAATGTGGACACTTTGTAAGTAGACTGGATCCCCAATATGAAGGAATCGGAGGGGATTTTCCTGTGGCAGATTCACCATTGGACTTCTTGTCTGAAGTTTGAATTTCAAGCAATTACACTTGTGGCTTCGAAACAAAGCATGAACTATTATTCATCAGCTCCCTGCCCCCACTGAGTGGTGTGAAGTTGCAGACCAATGGAAGAAATGGGCCCAATCTTAATGAAGAGCAGGGTAGCAACCTACAAACTGGTGCCTTTCGTTCCCAACACAGACTAAGCATCAGTCTCGAACAGAGGGGAAATAGGAAAAAATGGCCAGTCGATTCTTCATCTGGCTTAATTTTTTTTAACTGAGAAATTATAAATTCTCAGATTGGAGGCACCTAACAAAAGTATGTTGGATGTGTACTATGTGTCAAGCAACCACAAAAGTAAGGGATGGTCTAATGGGGAGATAAATGTGTAAATAAACAGGCCATTCAGTGTGTTAAAGATTTCAGGGTCACAATACAAAATACTATGGCAGATGAATTAATAGTAATTTGAGGGATGCATGGGTGGCTCAGCGGTTGAATGTCTGCCTTCAGCTCAGGGCGTGATCCTGGAGTCCTGGGATCGAGTCCCACATCAGGCTCTCTGCATGGAGCCTACTTCTCCCTCTGCCTGTGTCTCTGCCTCTCTCTCTGTGTCTGTCATGAATAAATAAAATATTTAAAAAAATAGTAACTTGAGCCACTAAATCTTGTGAAGTTGGATTTGACCTCCTAGAAGTATGTCACCTACCACATGTACACCAGTAATGCACCAGCCAGTGTTGTACTTCCTTTCAAGCATTAATTAACCCATGTTTACCATTTATCAGGAACTACTCATTACCATGTTTATGCTGGAGAGCACTAAGGGGGCGTAACCTGTCCCAGCAATAATGAGTAAGAAGCCTGTTGACTAAGGAGGGTTTGACCGGCGCACCTAAGGAATATGTGAAAACACTTATGAATCATTCACCTTCCCATTTCAGCTGCAGACAGAGGAAACTTTATCCTTCCACAAAACATTTAGAAACATGTTTCTCGTTATATCCAAGATGCCAAAAGTAATTAAATGTCAGCTAATTTTGACTCTGTTTCCATTTGATCAGCCATGGATTGTTTCAAAACTTCGTCAAGTCATTCCTGGATTTATCCTACTGTGATCCTGTGCTTATTTGGATTTTTCTCCATGATGAGACCCTCAGAACCCTTCCTTATCCCGTATTTATCTGGACCAGATAAAAACCTGACCAGCTCAGAGGTAAATTAATATACATACATACATATCTTAACATGGTTTAACTTTACAGGATTTGAACAAGATGTGGGGTTAGGGCTTCATCAAACTTGAGATATTAACGCACTAACCTTGGTGATCCATTTTCATAGTATTTGTCATTTAATACAATGATTCAAACTAGTCTTCCCTCCTCACACTTGTAAAAATGGGAAACCTCGGGATCCCTGGGTGGCGCAGCGGTTTGGCGCCTGCCTTTGGCCCAGGGCGCGATCCTGGAGACCCGGGATCGAATCCCACATCGGGCTCCCGGTGCATGGAGCCTGCTTCTCCCTCTGCCTGTGTCTCTGCCTCTCTCTCTCTCTGTGACTATCATAAATAAATAAAAATTTAAAAAAATTAAAAATGGGAAACCTCAGCATATTGAAGTCCAATACATATTTTAACTTTTATGGAGCTCTACCATTAGTCTAACACAAGGTAATTTTCAGGGCTCCATCGATGCTGTTATACTAACGTTATCCTAATGTAAAATCTCTGCCAGGCACAGGATCTAGTCCTAATAAACTTTTAGATGGCTGAGGTATAAGCGGGATCTATAAAGAACCATATCATTTTTTTAGAACACTTATTCAGTTGTGAAAAACTGTTTACCAGCCAGTGAGACTTAACAGCTTTATCTCTCAGCTCTATCTTCCCCTGAAGGCCAAATTGTCTTAAAAGATTCACCTCCTTTTTTAATAATAAGTGCAACGAGAAAAGGCACTCGCCCACCTGAAGAATTACCCTGCTCTGGTTTTATAATCTCCAGCCATAGCCACGAAGACACTACAGAGTGTGTGCCTTCACCTAGAAGGCTAACCGATGCTAGTTAATTTGGTGATGAGGTGCTACGGACAGAAAAGCAAGCGGGTTGTGTGGTGATGTAAAATCACTTTGCGACAACTCTGTTTCCAATTTTTTTCCAGATGGAAGCCTATCACAATCGAGACAAAACAAAGGACAAATACAGGTCCTAAATCAGCCAGTGAACCGACTGGGGTCTGCTTCTGTGACCACTATAGACCAGTTTGCATACCTATGCCCAGAGGCGCCACTCAGTCCCACTAGCCTTTGCAATCACTCTGCTGTCTACAGCAGTGGCACAGAACAGAACAAATGCAGGTGTGGTGTGACAGTGCTGCCGCCACACCCATCCTGCCCCAGAGATCAACCCCTTCGGTCCTTCCTTCCTAGGAATGATCACTGCGGTTCCTTGCATTTCTGATGATAGCCATGAGATACCCACATCAAATGAGGACAGAATTGAGTAAGCAGAGGTTAACCAGTAGAATTGGGAGGGGAAAAGCTTTGGGAGATTTGGCCAGGAAGATAATGCAATGCATGACTTGTTCCCACTTTGCAATTTTGCAAGGTTATTTATTCTTTTCTGTCCTCACATGTGTTCATTAGACTGTGGACATTTCTGACATGGTGATGGATCAAATAAACATAAAGTTTGCTGGAGTCTTCTAACATTGTAGCCCCTTTGTCTAATGTTAAAATCTTTGAACAAAAGAGGAATGGTATTTTTTTAAGAGACTAAAAACCCCAGGAGTGTCTGTTGAATAATTTTTAACTACTTTAACTCAAATGTACATACTATTTAACTTTAAGAGAGTTCAGATTGCACATTAAGCAAATATATTCTTCTATTGGGATGCACATAAATTTATAAATTGGTTTTATTTTGAAGAAGGGGGAGGACCTCTTTTTTCCTTGAAAATCCATTTTTTGGGGGCCCCTGGATGGCTCAGTCAGTTGAGTGTCTGCCTTCAACCCAGGTCATGATCTCGGGGTCCTGGGATCGAGTGCCGTGTTGGGCTCTCTGCTCAGCAGGGAGTATGCTTCTTCCTCTCCCTCTCCCTCTGTGTGCTGTCTCAAATAAATAAATAAATAACCAAAAGAAAGAAAGAAGAAAGAAAGAAAGAAAGAAAGAAAGAAAGAAAGAAAGAAAGAAAGAAAGAAAGAAAGAAAGAAAGAAAGAAAGAAAATCAGTTTTCACTTGTGCTTTTCCATAATATGAAGAATATCCTATCCAATTGGATGCAGAGTTTGATATTGGGCAAGCCACCTACACCTTAGTAATGTACTACATAAAAAGGTATCTCTTTCACCTCCTGGTGCTTCATGGTCACATGATCCATTTTTCAACCTCACAGATCACAAACGAGATCTTACCAATTTGGACATACTCTTATCTGGTGCTGCTGCTCCCCGTGTTCATCCTCACTGACTATGTCCGCTACAAGCCAGTCATCATCCTGCAAGGGATCAGCTTCATCATCACCTGGCTGCTGCTCTTGTTTGGCCAGGGAGTGAAGACCATGCAGGTTGTAGAGTTCTTCTATGGGATGGTGACTGCCACCGAGGTGGCCTACTATGCCTACATTTACAGCGTGGTCAGCCCAGAGCACTACCAGAAAGTGAGTGGCTACTGCAGGAGCATCACACTGGTGGCCTACACAGTGGCCTCCGTGCTGGCCCAGCTCCTGGTGTCCTTGGCCAACGTATCGTACTTTTATCTCAATGTCATATCCTTGGCCTCTGTCTGTGTGGCCTTTCTTTTTTCACTTTTCCTACCAATGCCTAAGAAGAGCATGTTTTTTCATGCAAAATCCAACAAAGAGGTACAGAAGCCATCAAACAAAAATACAGTGTCAGATGAACCTTCCAAAGTTACCACACAAGATGGCGAAGAGATACCCACTTCAGAAATACCTACCATTTCAGGGAAACTGGATGGTGCTCCGGTGAATAGCCCAATGCCTAAAAATTTGGTTTTAAGTGTTTTTGTGCAGTGGTTCCAAGATTTGAAGGAATGCTACTCCTCAAAGCGTCTTTTTTACTGGTCCCTCTGGTGGGCCTTCTCTACAGCAGGTTTTAACCAAATTTTGAACTATGTTCAAATCCTGTGGGATTACAAGGCACCATCCCAGAGTTCTTTCATCTATAATGGGGCAGTAGAAGCTATTGCAACCTTTGGAGGTAAGCAAACATTGATTTATCTTCCCTTGATGGGCTACCCCCATTACGTTTTTGTCTTTGTTGCTAAACTCCATGGTGGTAAGCTAATTCTGTCAGAAGGCATATTAACCTTTGTTTTTAATGGAAGGCACTGAAAGAAAGAAAAAGAGGACCATGACATTTGTATGTAATGTGGTAGAGTTATGGCAAGTAACTCAAGAGCTCTGGATTAAGCACCAAATGATTAAATTTTAGGTAAACTCCTAAGATTCCAATTCATCATTAAGAAAGGGGTTAATAATACCCCTTCTTCTTTCAGGTTGTTTTTTTTTATATACAAAGAAAAATACTCACCTTATATATAAGTAAGGAGTTTCATTATTTTAGTAAAATAGATTGAACCCTCAAGCCTTCCAGATTACCACTAGAAGATTTGATTTAACTAGTGCCGACCATTAGCAATCTTAGGTTCCACACCAAAAAGTTCTAAAAATGGGGGGATCCCTGGGTGGCTCAGTGGTTTAGCCCCTGCTTTCAGCCCAGGGCATGATCCTGGAGTCCTGGGATCGAGTCCCACATCACGCTCCCTGCTTGGAGCCTGCTTCTCCCCCTGCCTGTGTCTCTACCTCTCTCTCTCTCTCTCTCCTCTCTCTCTCTCATGAATAAATAAATAAAATCTTTTTAAAAAGTTCTAAATATAGCTTTCTTAAGAGATTTAAGTGAGATGTGGAATGTATGCAAGAGTCAGGATTCTAATACCAGAAGGAAATCTGCCTTTGAAGTTTATTCTACAATAAATATTTATATCCTGGTAAGTGGAAACTTAAATTCAACTGAGACTTTAAAGATATTTTCTAGGAAGTAGGAGATTTCCACACCCTCGTTTACAAAAAAAAAAAAAATTCAGAAAACTCAAGTGGTGTCCATTCTCTTATTGTCTCTCTTTTGGAGGCTTCACCTTTACTCCTGCACACCAGGACTGCTCTGGACTTGGTTCACTGAAATTATTTCTTCTACATTCCAAATTCTGGGAGGGTGGGGTGAAAGAATGGTATTTCCTTTGTAGCATTGGTTCTTTCCTGGATCACACATGGAAAAGTTCATCAAACATCAGTAACTTGAAACATAAGTACCTTTTATTTTGCTAAAAAGAACTATAAATGCTAACCCTAATGACTGCCAATTATTCAGTCTCTTAAACTCTGTAAGTCAATATTGAGTTCACTGAAAACCTCAAGTAAATGGGTTAGATCTCAAAGACAATGAGATGGACACCAGAAGTTTAAGATTACTAATAAAGACTAAAATTTTCTATCCAGGGCAACATATCTGTTACCCATTGAAAAAAAACTACGATAAACAACCAATGAGAAAGGCAAGTATGGACAGGCCAGGTATACTATCAGAGCAGCCCTTTCACTCTTCTCTATTCCTGCTCCTCACATGTTGTAGCAAGTGACTGGGTTTATGGATCGTTTCTCCCCACGCTGCTGTGGTAAAGAACTTTCGGGCCTCTCCACATGGTACAGTGCATGGTATGTAATGGATATTAATTAAAAGCGTGGCAACTACCTGATTGAAAGAGGAGGAGGTAAAGAGAGAAGCCAACAGAAGACATGGTTGAGAAAAAGATAAATCCACATGCTATTTTTGTGAGATCCATACATTCATCATGTACATTTGCCTAAGACTTGACTTTTTAAAGAGAGCACGGTAATAAATAAATAAATATAAATAAATAAATAAGAGTAAATAGAGTACGGTGGCATATCCCATGTGCACAGTCAATGTGTTGGATCTCCCTTAATGTTTCTTTCTCAGGGGCCGTGACTGCCTTTGCAGTGGGCTATGTGAAAGTCAACTGGGATCTTCTGGGAGAGCTGGCTCTAGCGATCTTCTCCATCATCAATGCAGGCTCTCTGTTTCTCATGCATTACACAACTGACATCTGGGCATGCTATGCTGGCTACTTGATATTCAAGTCCAGCTATATGCTTCTTATAACCATAGCAGTGTAAGTATTACCAATCATTTCTCTCCACTCCTAAACCCACACCATGTTCTCTCTTCTGTAGCATTTGCAGAACTTCAGAAGTATTTTAATCAATAGCAATATTAAATGTTGGCCACATATCAAATTGGGCACAATGAAGCCATGTTTTCTTTTAACTATTTGCCCTCTGAATGTTGCTGAGATAAGTCATCAAAGAAAAAAAAAGTTCTATGGGTTCATGAACCAAAAGCAAAGATACACTGTCAGGTTGTGATTTTTATTTCAAGTTTTTTGCCTTAACAAGGCAGGGTGCAATCTGCTTCTGAATGATTAAGTTTAGGTTTCATCACTAATTTCATTTAGTTGTTTGTGTAATTCCAGACATATACATTTGTGTGAAGCAAAACATACTCAGCAGGTTATAAAAACTTGGATATTGAGAAAAGTGGATGCAACGATTACAAGAAACTAGCTCAGAAATCAGTTTTTAACAATGAAAAATGTTTTGTTTCATATAGAAGTGCAGAGAAGGCTGACTACAGGAAATGTGCTTTGATATTAATCAAAAGAGATAAGAAATATTTGAATTTCAAATCACATGAAAGAAGTAGAGCCAGAAGCTTTATTAAGTTCTCAGGCTTAATGTGTGAAAAATGTTTGATAAGGAATCGACAAACCACAGAAATATGAGCAGCTTGGGAAAAGATCATGAAAGAGAATAAGGTTGTTTACTTTTTTTTTAGTGGAAATATGTCAGTTTAACAAATCAAACTCATGTCTCTTAAGTTTCTTCTTTTTAATTCAAGGACATTTTTAAGGTAGGATTACATTACTTCTTCTCGTTTTAAGAATCTTCAGAACCAAAAGCCTTTTACCCTTGTTCCACAGAACAGCTCTAGATAACATACATTTGCCAGTCATTCATTAGTTATAAGGTGTCAAAACCTATATAATTATTAGAATAAATTATTTATAGATTCACTCAGTTATACAACCAATCATGATCTGGATCTTCCTAAAAATAAATAACTCGCCCACCAAAATTTGAAACTGTTGATACAATTGACAGTAAAAAGAATAACTCTCCAAATGATTCCACGAATTGGACATTGCTTGCATTTTAATAAAAATTCACTGTGAAAGAGTATCTATAATCAGAAACCATCAAATATTCGGTTATGAAGACTCAGAACATTTAGGTTCAATTTTTGGAAGCATTAAATTGAAGAGGAGAAATTGTGCCATATTTCCTTTAACTGGTGTTTTAATTCAGCCTTCAACTGTATTGTATTTTTTTAATTCCCTTTCTTTGTTCTGCCTGTTTGTCTAAACTGGAAGAGATTTAGACAAAAAGGGCTGATAGCAAGACACTGCTTTGATCTCCATTTCTTTATTTTCTGTCTTTTAAGGGTAAGGATCCCATGTGTATTTTGTTAAAGAATGTAATTCAACATTTAATGATAGATTTCAGATCGCGGTTAATCTGAGTGTGGAACGCTATGCCTTGGTGTTTGGAATGAACACCTTCATGGCCCTGGTGATCCAGACCATTATGACAGTGATCGTAGTAGATCAGAAAGGACTCAACCTGCCAATCAGCATTCAGGTAAGATGTAATCTTGTTGTTTTCCTACTCAGGTAGTTGGGGGAATGTGGAATAACTAGGTAATCTGAAAGATTTTTTCAACCTCACCACAAGCAGTATTTAATTTCTTGAATTGCTTAGTTTAGCAAAAATTTTAAATAACCAATTCCTTCCTTATCATATTGTAACACACCAAGTAGGTTTTCAGCAATAACCATACTCGGTAACATTTGCCGGTGGCTACTAACATGTCATCAGATGCCACTCTGGCCATTGTGTCCCCTCTATGTCTGCTCTTCCTCCTGCCATCATATTCGTTCCAAGGTTTAGGAGATTTGACTAGAAGTGGTACATGACTGCAGAGCTCAACTCCTTTTCCCTACTCTACTGAGGACCTTGAAATAGCCCCATTTCACATTTTACATATGGATCTGGGAAAGCAGGGGATAGTTATGTAAGAAGTAACCTCATTATCTAAAATTCATTCCTAGCATTCACTAAATTCATTCACTATCCTGTAGACATAAACACATGGATCAGTGGAATTTAGTGTTTTTTCACTATTGTTGGTGTTAGCTGGGGTGTGAACCCAAGCAACCTTGGCTCCAGAGCCCACATTCTTAGTTACTGAATTTCTTACATTTTTATAGCTGATTCTTCTAAGATAGAAGAAGAAAGTATTGTGCATATCCTGGGTCTTAGTTATCCCATAATCCAAGCAAATCATTATCATCACTGTGTATTATCAGTGACATAGTCATATTTTATGTGTGTCTAATTACCTCTATGTGTTTTTCTCTAGTTTTTAGTTTATGGGAGTTATTTTGCAGTTATTGCTGGCATTTTTCTAACGAGAAGCATGTACATCATCTATTCAACCAAATGCCAAAAGCAAGCACAGAGACCAGCTACAAGTCAGAATCCAGATGAGCCCCACCCAGAGGGGCTAAGGAATGTCATTACAGGAACAAAGCTCTAACCTTATGGCAGCCACTGCATCCGCTGGGCAAGGATCCTCCTGGTCACAAAGTTACTGAGTTCCACAAATTGGTACACTTCCTAAGTCTGGTTTTCAACGAACCTTTTCAAAACCACAACAAAACCTCAGTTTTAGACCGGCTACTATGTGTCCATCTGTATGCAGTCAACAAGGCCCATCATCTCGATCAAATAGCTTGTGTTGGGGACCCCAGTGAGTAGCAAGAACTGAGAAATTCTGGTTTTGATTACTCACTAGGACTTACAAATGGCATGGAAATAAACTATGAGAAAACACCAGTCATCCTGGAGTTGAAGTTCTCCATTCATAAACAGAAATACTAACTGGACCAACCCCTTTGCTAGGTTTAAATATTTGTTTTATTTTACCAAAACAGACAAGATGGGACATTTTTTGTCACATAGTTATTTTCCTTCTTTTATTAAGTATATTTCTATATACTTTCAGTTCTCTGAGAGAATCTCCAGGTCTGGTCCAGTTTCTAAGAGAGGTCTAAGGACCCCTCTTCAATCCTGATAACATGGCATTGTTCACAAACTACTATTTGATAATATCACCATTTGATTTTGTCATGATTACTTTTTGCTTTGTGTTATTCTGAGTGTTGTTGAAATTCTATCTCAGGAATAGCCCCAGACATTCCTGTGTGTCCACAGAATGACATTCAAGTCAATTCCTGGTGGCCTAGGAGAGGAAGTGAGCTTTCTCCCTACCATGACTCCAGATAGGTCATGATATGTCAGTTTGATCTCTGTCTAAAACAGAAAAATGTAAGTAGAAATTTCCAGGAATTTCTGAAAATATTTGTAAATAAAGAAAAAAATAATGATGGGGCCAGCAGCGAGGGGGACATTTAATTTTTAAGTGGCAGAGATTGTCCTACATAAAATACTGTGTGCAAAAATATTAAATTGTCTTTCTAAATTCTTGATGAATTGTGCTAAGAATCATCTGTGCTTGTATGTCCTTTGAAACTTCAGTAGAAGACACTGCCATGGAAATAAAGAATGCCGGTTCAAGATTTGTGTTTCACATATACTTTTCTCCAAATTCTAAAATTCGATCGCTGGACTGAAAATAAAACTCAGCTCCAAAGCCAACACCTACTAAGTAGGGAAAACTAGTGACATTACTACTTATATCAAAACCAAGGAAAAGATAATCACTATTATTCTCCTTATTTAATTTATTGTACTAGAGGTATAAGCCAACACAATTAGACAAGGAGAGAGAGAGAGAGAGAGAGAGAGAGAGAGAGAGAGAGAGAGAGAAATTAAAAATTGTAAAAGAGGAGGCAAAACTATCATTATTCTAGAGACCACAAGTATTCACCCTGGAGACTCAACTAAAAACTAAGATTGCAGTGCAGAAAGTATATAGAAATCAGCTTTACTCATGATACAACAACCATTTAGAAGATGCATAGGAGTAAAAGATCCAATTTATGATAGGACAAAAAGAATACAAAATAATTACATGTAATCTATTTAATAAATGTGTAAGGCATCTATGACTATACCTGCAAACACTTCTGTAGATTGCAAAATAACACCTAAACATATGGAAAAGCCTATCTTGTTCTCAGGAAGAAAAAAAATACATAAAGACATCATGTTTTCTAAATAAATTTATAAGTTAAATCCCATCCTAGAAGAAAAAAAAATGCATTTTTATTCAGAATTAGTAAGGGTGATTCTAAATTTAATTTGGAAAGTAAACAAAGAAGAACCAAGAAAATGCTTTGTCCAGTTGGAAAATGAAATTAAATAATTTGCAGAGAAAAAAATCCTATTTGAACTCTCAACTACATGGGATCCCTGGGTGGCTCAGTGGTTTAGCACCTGCCTTTGGCCCAGGGCATGATCCTGGAGTCCTGGGATCAAGTCCCATATCAGGCTCCCATCATAGAACCTGCTTCTCCCTCTGCCTGTGTCTCTGCCTCTCTCTCTCTCTCTCTCTCTCTCTCTCTCTCTCTCTCTCCCCCTCTCTCTTTCTCTGTGTGTGTGTGTGTGTCAATCTCATATGCAAATAAATAAATCTTTAAATAAATAAACTCTCAACTACAGAAACAGCAACACGAAGAGACAGTCCACTGGAACAGAGTAGAAAGTTCTGAATTAATCCTTAGTTCCTAATGGGATTTTAGACTATGATAAAGATAGCATCTCATACAAAAGGAAGAAAAAGAACATTTAATAAATTAGAACATTTTTTTTCAAAGGGAAACAAAGTTGCACCCACAAGTGATAGAATAACTTCATCTATATGTAATACAGATGTATCAATGCACAGATACAAAAAAGTGAAACCACAAAAACACTAAGAAAAATGTAAACATTATTTTATAATCTTAAACCTTTCTAAAGTAGTATAAAACCTTGAAATCATTTAAAAAATAGCATAAAACTGGGATCCCTGGGTGGCGCAGCGGTTTAGCGCCTGCCTTTGGCCCAGGGCGCGATCCTGCAGACCCGGGATCGAGTCCCACGTCGGGCTCCCGGTGCATGAAGCCTGCTTCTCCCTCTGCCTGTGTCTCTGACTCTCTCTCTCTCTCTCTCTCTCTCTCTCTGTGTGTGTGTGTGACTATCATAAGTAAAATAAAAAAAATTTAAAAATAAAATAAAATAAAAATAAAAAATAGCATAAAACTAAACACGTGTGGAAGAAAAACCACTGCAAACAAATGCAAAAGACACAATAAACTGGAATAAATATTGCAACATTTCAAATCTTCTGGGCAGCCCGGATGGCTCAGTGGTTTAGCTTCTCCCTCTGCCTGTGTCTCTGCCTCTCTCTCTCTCTCTCTCTCTCATGAATAAATAAATAAAATCTTTAAAAAAATTCCAAATCTGCTTTCCCTAGTTTATAAAGAACCATTACCAACTGATAAGAAAAAGATCAGTTACCTGATAGAAAAATGGGCAAAGAATGTGAACAGGAAATCCAGAGAAAGTGAAATACAAATGGCTCAGACATGTACATGATGTTTAAATGAACTCATCTGGGAAATGTTTGTCAAAGTACAATGAGATACCATTTTTCACCTGGCAGACTAGAAACTAATCCAAAAGTGTAATAATATGCTTGGTTCTTCGGGAATGGTTCAACAGACTGTCTCAAAGATGGTTGGTGGGAGTATATATTAGCTTCATAGCTGTGAAGAAAAACTCTGAACTCTCACAATTAAAAATGTGAATATCTTTCCACCTATAGATTTCTGTGGTTGAAATATACACTACTGTGTACCACCTGCCTTGGAAATGACTCACAGATGTTTTTCATTTCAGCAGTGTTTCTGAGGACAAAGGATTGGAAACTATTTAAATGTTGTCACATGAGTGGGGAAAATATATAATGGTGCCCCAGTATGTTCACTTGTATTAATATTAATTGGATAAAAAATGAGAAAAATCCTTATATAGTGATAAAGGGTTCTAAAATAAATTATTAAGTGGAGAGAAGTCAAGTGCCAAAATAATGAAAGCAGTAGCTCATCATCTGTGCAAAAGTAAACTGAAAAAATACGTGTATCAACTTAATACACATGCGACTTTTCTGAAAGGACAAACAAAACAAATAACAATGACCTGCTATGGAGTAATGAAGAATGGAGGGCGGGGGAAGATGGCATCTTTCCATGGCTTTTGATGTTTGTACCACATAAATTACTCATAACAAAACTGAAAAGCTAACTTTTAAAAAGTATTTAGCCTCTTGGGATGTAAATTAGCATCACAGAAAAAGGAGCTGGAGATTTTTATTTTTTACATGTAACCATTCTGTTTTTTACATTTTTGTAATATGCATGGATAATCTAAATGCACATCTATAATTAAAAGGAACAAGCACAAAAGACAGAGTATTCTGAAAAGAAATTTTCTTATTTGGTATCTCATTAAAGAGAAAGGGGTTTTTTAATATATTAAAACACAGATTTGCTTTGTAAGGTGTGGAGTTTCTTTTTTTAAAAAAAATTAATTTTTTATTGGTGTTCAATTTACCAACATACAGAATAACACCCAGTGCTCATCCCATCAAGTGTCCCCCTCAGTGCCTGTCACCCATTCACCCCACCCCCCGCCCTCCTCCCCTTCCACCACCCCTAGTTCATTTCTCAGAGGTCTTTATGTTCTGTCTCCCTTTCTGATATTTCCCACACATTTCTTCTCCCTTCCCTTATATTCCCTTTCACTATTATTCATATTAGGTGTGGAGTTTCTTGACTGGTTAAGACACCTTATGGATAGATAAATGCTTTCTTTTGTATGTAGAATGACTGGTGGGAACACCAGAAAAAAATTCATAAACAAATAATCAAAATAAGGGGATAGAAATAGCAAGAGAGTAACCACTTCTGAGAAGAAAAAAAAGGTTATGTTTCTAGCTTGTTTGCACTTGCCCTTTGCCTATACTTAGGTGAAATATCTGGGTTTAGGAAGTTGTCACGTGAAGAGGCATGTGATGCACATTTGACAAATAAGCAGGATCACTATATCTTTAGGGAAGAGGCACACACAGTGGTAGGTGTTGAAGTGATGGAGGGAAGTGCCTGCCATGGAAAAGTGACAGGTGGCTAGGAGGGGTGGCCCATGGTCTGCCCTGCAACCCTGACTTTGCATTGCTGCCATGCACACTTACCATTCAGGTTGGCCAAGGTGAGAAAAAACCCCGGGTGCACCCTGTTGCCATAGCACAATTTAAGCAGAATCACTTAGGGTTGTTTTCCACACTTTTATTTATTTTTTTAACCTTTTACCCTGTTCACTTATTTCTCCCACCCACCACTACCTACCAGTTCCCTGTATCTATGATGTTGTTTTCCTTTTTTTAATCCCATGTATAAGAGAGATCACATGGTATTTATCTTTCTCTGACTTATTTCATTTAGCATAATGCCCTTTTGGTTTATACATGTTGTCACAAATGGCAAGATTTCCTTATTTTTTTAAAATTTAATTTATTTATGAGAGAGAGAGAGAGAGAGAGAGAGAGAGAGAGGCAGACACAGCAGAGGGAGAAGCAGGCTCCATTTCATGCAGGGAGCCTGACGTGGGACTCAACCCCAGGTCTCCAGGACCACACCCTGGGCTGAAAGTAGCACTAAACCGCTGAGCCACCCAGACTGCCCTCCCTTTTTTTATGGCTGAATTATACACATACACACATAAACACACACACACACACACACACCACAATTTCTTGATCTATTCATCCATCAACAGATGTTTTCTGTGTTTTATTAAGAAATTTGGGCAATAGTTACATGGTGAATGGAAACAATAGTGATATTAAAAGAACAGGGTAATAGTAATAAAAATAGTTTGCATACTGGTGCAGAGCAGGAGAAGTACCAAGTTGGGAGACCACATGAATACTTTTCAAATAGAATACTCAGAACGGTGATCACATTGACTGGGCTCAGTGATCTTCAGGTGTGGGTTGGGTTTACATCTTTGTCATGTCCATTTCCTGTTTAAGAGTTTTTTCAAATAAAAAGGCTTGACACCATTGGGTTGAAAGAGAAGGGGATTGAGTTCATAAACCAGTAATATTGTTCAAGAAAGTAAATCCTGGTGCACCCAGGTGATAGCAAGTGGAGAGATCTGGGAGCAGTTGCACGAGCTGCAGTCACAGGACAAGTGGCAGCAGCAGACCACGGGGACACTGCAGCAGCCCCCACAGAGCCACAGCAGCAGGGGCAGCAGGACGAGCAGCAGCCCACCCGGTAGCACCTGCAGGTGTTACAGCTGCCGCAGCTGCCACAGCCACTGCTGCAGCCAACACAACTTCCACAACCACAGCACCCCACGGTGTCAGTAGAGAGGACTCAGGACAGGTGAGCAGGGAGACTCAAGGGGTGAGGGAGGTCTGATGACACCTTCTGCTGGGGGAGCTCCTTATGTGCCATCTTGAAATGGATGGTGATAGAACAACCCAGGACACGTGACAAATGGTTCCTTCCTTATTATTTATTCCAACATCCAGAAAAGGATCTAAAATTCTTTCTCATTTATATCCTTACTGGGAAACATTCAGAGTTTTTACCACATGGAAGAAAGATGGTCCCTCTACTGGACAGAATTCACTTGCATGGCTTTCCATAAGAATTATCTCATGTCAGGCAGCCTGGGTGGCTCAGCGGTTTAGCGCTGCCTTCAGCCCAGGGTGTGATCTTGGAGACCCAGGATCGAGTCCCACGTCAGGCTCGCTGCATGGAGCCTGCCTCTCCCTCTGCCTGTGTCTGTGCCTCTCTCTGTGTGTGTGTGTGTCTCTCATGAAAAAGTAAATAAAATCTTTTAAAAAAAAAAGAACTATCTCATATTGCTTTTAGAGATCTACAATGTACAAATCTGGAAAATAGCTCACCTGGCAATGAAAAGCCAGAACCAGGTAACCAGGGAAAAGGTGCTCTAGAGTCTAGACAGCATCTAGTCCTTTCCTGATGCATAGATTCTTCCTTACGTACCAAAACTTCTCATATGGAGTTGAAAAGTAAAAAAAGCAAGATGAAAACAACAGCATTCTGACCTGACCCTTGGATGTCTCTTTACTCTTTCAGAGGCTAAAAAAACATCACTTGTGGAGGCTGAGGGGGGAAAGGGGCTTCAGGTGGTGAGAGGCTGCCCTGGGAGTCTTCTGAAAACCTGTGAATCTAGGACTTCAAGCCACTGAGCACAACATTCTAAAGAAATTCTGAATTAAGTTCTTTCAATCAGGGACACCTGGGTGGCTCAGCAGTTGAGCATCTGCCTTCGACTCAGAGTGTGATCCTGGGGAGCTGGGATCGAGCCCTATGTCAGGCTCCCCACAAGAAGCCTGCTTCTCTCTCTGCCTATGTCTCTGCCTCTCTCTGTGTGTCTCTCATGAATAAATAAATATTTTTAAAATTCCTTTAATCATAGCCATCTGGGGAAGATATTGGCTTGCATTTCCCCCCCTTTTCAGGAACCTATAATCCCCAAGAGATCAAGATCCAAAAATCAAGTCTCTGTTTGACTTTACAGAGGAATTTGGCTTTGGCAGCATGTAGACCTCAGTGTCTGGACTCTGCCCTGACAGTTTGGCCAGGAGGGAGGTGGGTTAGAGGACTCCGAGCTGGGCAATCTCAGATACTGGCAGCAGGAGAGGCAGAGAGCAGGACTGTCATCCAGAAAAGACTAAAAACAAACCAAACTGAGAAAAAAATAGATTGTTGAATTTGCCAACCTCCTATCACCCCAACAACGGAAGAAGGAATGAGACTGTCTGATGTGGTATTTGATGAAGCTTCCAGGGGATTTGTTTTCTTCTGCTTTGTTGGTGCTGTCAACTTGTCCCGCTGAAAATATTCCTGCATGCTGCATGACTTGAAGAAGTTTCTTCATGTTTTTGTACCTGTTTTCTCATCTATAAAATGGGGACAAGAACAGTCTTACTTCATAGGAATTTTTTGAGGATTAAATGATCTAGGACATGCACGTCAAGTACCCAGGAGTACTCAGCACACAGTAAAGGCTTGGTAAGTCTTGGATGATATTACTATTAATAATCATTTTTCTAAATGTGAGATGTCCAGGCATACACAGTTTCTTGGGATGCCTGAGTTTTGATTGAGAGACCATATTAGTAGCATCTTTCTAGGACACTCGCAATTCAAATATCTTATGGAACTGCCTAATTATAATGCAGAGCAGACGTATAAGTTTTGGAAACTACAACCATTGCTCTAATGGGAAAAAGAGAACAGACTGTCTGCATGAGGCTGAAAACTTTGAATTGCCCTAGTGGAAATTCCATCTAAAGTAGTAACACCTCTTATTAATAATTAATTCAGTGCTTGATATGAACCAGGCATTGTTCTAGTTCCTGCAGTTTGCTTATTTTTAATCAAAAGTCTTCAAAAAAAAAAAAAAACCACACTACTTCATTTTCTATTTGCAGTGGAGAAATAGAAATTAAACAACACTTCTGACTTCCTCTAGCGTCAGCTTCTGCTCCATCCGATCCTGGCCCAGATTAGAACAACATATGCTGGCTTTATCTAAATTTACCACAGTTTTCCTGCTTTAACATTAAAGAGTAAGTTACAACGTTATTGTATTTGAAGATATGTGAAATTTAAGTGCTCATATTTCCATTTTCAGGTATCCAATTTTGATAGTCTGTAACTTTCTAGTCAGAGTTTATACTGGGGTCACTGTAGGAACTGGTGGGTTATCAAGAAGAGTATAAAACATAGTTGCTAAAATAATTTAGGCATCTTGGGTAATGGGAAGCAAATTTTGCAAATTTATTTTCACCAGTTTAGCTCTTCCAGGCCTTCAAAATTAAAAAAAAAAAAGTCTGGAATTAGGGGCAGAGCAATATTATGGAACTTAGCTGTGTCCACTCCACCGACCACTAGTAGAGATACCACATTTGAGTTTCTCCTCCACAGGCAAAGTGACTCAGAAAGCTGAGGGTATCTTAGAGGGTAGAGGGATCTACAGTACCCACAGCAAATTGCTATTCAGGTCCCACACTCTGTTCCCTTCTAGTAAACACAAAATGTGGGGCTCCCTGGGTGGCTCAGCGGTTTAGCGCCTGCCTTTGTCCCAGGGTATGATCCTGGAGTCCGCGGATCAAGTCCCACATCGGGGTCCCTGTATGGAGTCTGCTTCTCCCTCTGCCTGTGTCTCTGCCTCTCTCTGTGTGTTTCTCATAAATATATAAAATCTTTAACAAATTAATAAACACAAATTGAAAACCTTGTCATTTCTTTTTATTTTCTTTCCTATCTTTTGAAATGATTATAAGGACAATTGACCTAGTCTAAGAATGTACACGAGCTTCAAGGTTATTATATAAAATCCACAGTGCTGTAGGGCTAATGAATGTCAGCCCTGTGAGCTACACCCACACAGAGGGAGAAAAATGCTGTCCGGAAGCCAGCTGCAAACGTCTGGAAGGAGGTAGCTCAAAACCAGGGGTAAGTGATATGACAGGGAAAAGGAGGCATCACCTTAACAATGGCCACAAAGGGATGCAAGATGCCTCAATCTTCAACCCGAGAGACCAAGTTGCTTTGGGGATCCTACAATGGGAGAATTTCGCAAAGGAAATGGAAGAGGGGGAGCAAAACGCATCCAGCTTTGGAGAAAGGAATTAAACTAAAATGTCATGGAAATAAAAGGCAAGTGTGTGCACTCAAAAATTCAACCCGACTAGATGTTCCAGAGGGGGGAAAAATGTGACTTTGATAAACCCCAGGGAGTGAGATTAAAATAGGAAGCTAGCAAAGTAATAGCAGGAATGTGTCTGACCGGGCTCCTGGCCACTCACAAAATGCAATGCTGAGAAAATCCAAAGACTGAGCTTCTCCAAGTAGTTGTTAATATGATAGCAGTGATTTATTTTTAACACAGGGAACGATCAATGCTCTGCCGATGCAAAGGTGGAGGTGTCCTCACTCTGTGCTAATGAACTCTGGTCCTTCCTGTCTGCTGAGGATTGCAGTATGCCACGGCGTGCCACGGCATGCTTCATTGTTCAATCAAGACTTTCTGCAGCTGTTACAGATCTGCCCTACAAACCAGAACTTTGAGTTCGCAGCTGATGGTGGCTGGCCTTGTGTCCCCGTGGAGCAGAGGACAGAGCACCCGCTCACCTTGTGAATCCCGTTTCCTCCTGTGTAAAGAGCCTCCTCTCCTCTCACTTTTCAGACCATAAAGGTAAGCCCAGACCAGCTTTATTTATCTGCTGGAGGAAGCAGCTGATCAAAGACACCTTTCTACTTTTTTGCTTCAGACACTGGTTTCACCAAATACAAGACCACTCTCATTTCATCTTATAGGGCAAAACAAAGTATAGAAAATGACTCATTCCTGGAGGGGGGGAGGTTGTATCAGAACAGAGAGGGCAAGAGCAAAATAGTAATTTGTACAGCATTCTTACTTGCATTCCTTGCTATGGAGAAGATACATAAGTCAAATAATAATTACAATGTCACTGCTTCTTATAATTTGCCCAAGGCTGGAGGGGGGCTGCAACATTTAATCCAGATCATATAATCTTAGGTGTAATAATAAAGGCAAGGCATCCTTGAAGCAACCTCCAAAGCTCTGCTAGTGGTGCCAGCAGCTGGAACAGGGAGTTCTGGAAGCAAGGACAAGAAGGGGTCTACACCTCCTCACATTCATGGGATAAACGTGGCTTTCAATGTGAATGCTCTTTCCCTCTTCTTCAGTTCCCCCGAACTTTCAATTCAGGAAACCTTTACAGATGGGAATTAAGCACCATGTCACTGAAAGCCTGACACTGGAGATGTCACTAGCACCAAATAGCACAGGATCCCTTTCGCCCAAGGAACAGCTTGTAGGGGCTTAAACTGTCCAAAGAAAACTTCTGTAAAAGTCCACTGAACTGATTTCAAGAGTGCATGCTGCATTATTCAGCCATAAAAAGAATGAAATCTTGCCATTTGTGACAATATGGATGACCTTGAGGGTATTATACTGAGGGAAATAAAGCAAAGACAGAAAAACAAATACTGTATGATTTCACTTATATATGTGGAATCTAAAAACCAAAGTAAATAAAACAAAACAGAAACAGATCACTGATACCTAAGAGAAATAGAGGAGGAGGGGAGGGGGATGAGCAAAATAGGCAAAGGGATGAAGAGGCACAAACTTCCAGTTTTAAAATAAATAAGCCATGGAAATATATTATACAGCATAGGAAATATAATTAATAATACTGCAATAAATTTGTATGGTGACAGATGGTAAGTACTCTTATTTTGAGGATCATTTCATAATGTCTAAAAATATTAAATTGTTATGATGGACATCTGAAACTAATAGGATATTGGATGTCAATTATCTTTCAATAAGAAAAAGGGAATGCATGCTACATTTATTATCAGCTGGAGTAATACATGGTATTTAATATGCTCATCATTTTTTAAGATTTATTTATTTGTGTGAGAGAGTGTGCGGGCACAGGGGGTAGAGGGAGAGAGAGAATCTCAAGCAGACTCCCCACTAAGTGGGGAGCTCAACACGGAGCTCAGTCTCACAACCCTGAGACCATGATTTGAGCCAAAATCAAGAGTCAAGACATGTAGCCAAGCCAACTGTACCACCCATGCTCCCCAGTGTTCATCATTTTAGATGGCAACCATAAGTTCTACACCACACAATTCTGATTTGGGAAGTAGCCAGCAAAGAAAGAGGAGAAAGTAAACAAGACCTGGGAACAACTCGAAAGGAATGAGAGATGGAAACTTAAGACTAGCATGCCCCACCCAACGGGTACAAGAAGAGTTCAAGCCTCGCATCCTTACAGAATTGGATTCTAAACAGCATGACCGTGGGCCAGCCGCATTCTCTCTCCCAGAATGTCTGCTTTCTCATCTCCAAGTGGAGATAATATCTAATTTGTGAACTTTTCAGAGGATTAAAAACAAGACATAGAAAGCATGTCATATAAAAGCCTGCCCAAGCAGGTGTCAGGGTAAATGGCACCTACCAGAGGTATTATTTTTACATGCTTGTTGACAGTACAGGTTAGGAAGAATTGATTTGGTCTTGATAGAGAATTGCATGCTTGGAGTACATGCTGAGCACTCAGAATCTCAGGAAATGTGGATAGATAGGCATCGCCGGATTCAAGTAGGTCACTAGAAGTAATATTTATAGGTGGTTATCCAACCTAAGGAGGTATCACAAGAAGACAGGTTGTATTTCACTACCCAAGTCCAAGTGCTTCCAGAGGGTATGAAGGGGATGAGAGTCTTTGGTGGGCTGAAGAATTTCAGATATCTATGTGCATATGTCTTTTAAACAGAGTAGCCCTGCCACACACCCCCTTGTGCAACGCTAAACCAGGCAGGGTGCACACCTGATACTCAAGTGGTCCCTTTTGGGGACAGCAGTCTGAGCAGAGGTATCAGAGTAGTCCTCAGCTTGGAAGTGGGGTGTATCAGAATCCAGAGGATCCCTGAGTAACCGCTGAAAATTGCATACAGGAGATTTCAGTACCCCTTCTTTGAAGGGCGTTCAAGGAACTCCATGGAAGATGGGGAAAGCCTTACTGGAGAACTCAGCTTTTAGTCCAACAGACAAGATCAGGAATGCAAAATCACCAACTAAGAAATGTACTCTGAAGAGACCTTAGGATGAGGCTTTTTCCACATAGAAGTGATCAAAACATGGAAAAGCAATAGAGTTTAGGGCATTGACATGATTACTATAGAAATTATAAAGGAGAGAAGGCTGGGATATTGGAAGCAAAACAGAGATATCCCAATGGCACAATCAAAGTTGATGACATAAGCAAGAAGAGGTCATTGTAGACAGAGCCCTTGACTGGATCCCTTTTTTAGAGGGAGAATAGGATGCGGCCATGAGAATGAGGAACTGAGGTAGAATGGAAAAAGGGATCCCTGGATATGAGAAGACTGAGGAACTGTGAAGATGAGATACATTTCAGGTGGATATTGAAGAACTGTAAGATAATATCGGGACTTGGGATGAAGAATTGATGCCAAGGATTTGGAAGATGGAGGAAGAGAGAAGGGGCAATCCGTGTTGGCAACTAGACCATGACAAAGTGGCCAAGTTAAGTGAATTCCAAAGAAATGGACATTTTTATTTTCTTCCACAAGATTGAAAATAATTGTCTGGAGGCAGCATGGAGGATCAAGGACAGCATCAACTACCACATGTAAATACCCAAAATCACAGCTAGAAAATGATGGGGTTGATATTTGAACTCAAGAACCTGGAAAATACTAGCAGCAGCCTTGCTCTGCTTAGTTGCGGGGTATAACTTCCATCTCCTTCTCCCTCAATATCACCCCCTCCATGTCTATATATTCTTGCCCAATCCTGGCACTTTTGCCTCATCTACTCCTCCTCTGTCCAAGGAGGCACTGGTCTTCTCCCACCCCCATCAAGTGGAAGATTGCGTTTCTTCTATTAGGTTGATCTCTGATTTTCTCAACCCAAAATTCGGACAGCAGAGGAATTTCAACCTCTCCAGGACAGTAGAAATAGCTGTAAGGCTGTAAAGGTCATGAAGAAAAAAGACCAGAATTTTAGGTCCAAGTTCAATTATGGAGTTGTGCAAACAACCCATGGTCAGGCTAGACAGAAGCATAATGAATGAAAGAAGAGAGTGGGCTTCTTGGAGCACAGAAAACAGATGACTCCCAGTCAGGCTCATTGAGGGCTCCGCACATAGTCATTTCATCAGCTGCTTACGCAAGAAAGACCTAGAAAACCCCAGAAGCATTCCATATGGAAGAGCAAATCCCTACTTTCTGTAAAGTAAATGGAAAGCAGTTAACTACTGGCAAATATTTTTCATTGTCATCATTCCTGCTTATTGATGTAATTCAGCTTCTGGTTTTTATTGCCACCTACTCTGTTTATGTAAGAGCTTTATTGATAGAAACTTGATACGTATTTACTTTACCTCGAGGAAGAGGACAATCAATCTAATAGGTCTCCAAATAAGTCAGTCTTCATGGGGACCCATCTTGTGAAGGGACAGAGTGGTAAATAATATGACATCATCTGGAAGGTCAACCCTCCCAAAGTTCTTCCACCAGGGAAATCTGAGATTCTATCCAAGGTTGCTTACTCTTTTCCAGGCTTCCATGGTGAACATTATCTCTAACCTCCTTTCAAAGTGAAATTACCAGAGGACTCATTGATTGTCACTAATAGTAAATGTGAATGTACTTGTGGAAATTTGTATCTCTTACTGTAGACAGCACCACTCCAGCTAAGCCAGGTGTTTAACACACGAATTCCTTAACACATCATATCTAGTGTCAGGCTTTCTTTTTTTTTTAATAAATTTATTTTTTATTGGTGTTCAATTTGCCAACATACAGAATAACAGCCAGTGCTCTCATCCCGGCAAGTGCCCACCTCAGTGCCCACCACCCAGTCACCCCCCCCCCCGTCCACCTCCCCTTCCACTGCCCCTAATTCGTTTCTCAGAGTTAGGAGTCTCTCATGTTCTGTCTCCCTTTCTGATATTTCCCACTTATTTTTTTTCCTTTCCCCTTTATTCCCTTTCACTATCTTTTATATTCCCCCAAATGAATGAGACCATATAATGTTTGTCCTTCTTCGATTGACTTATTTCACTCAGCGTAATACCCTCCAGTTCTATCCACATAGAAGCAAATGGTGGGTATTTGTCGTTTCTAATGGCTGAGGAATATTCCATTGTATACATAGACCACAGCTTCTTTATCCATTCATCTTTCGATGGACACCGAGGCTCCTTCCACAGTTTGGCTACTGTGGACATTGCTGCTAGAAACATCGGGGTGCAGGTGTCCCGGCGTTTCATTGCATCTGCATCTTTGGGGTAAATCCCCAGCAGTGCAATTGCTGGATCGTAGGGCAGGTCTATTTTTAACTCTTTGAGGAACCTCCACACAGTTTTCCAGAGTGGCTGCACCAGTTCACATTCCCACCAACAGTGTAAGAGGGTTCCCTTTTCTGCACATCCTCTCCAACATTTGTGGTTTCCTGCCTTGTTAATTTTCCCCATTCTCACTGGTGTGAGGTGGTATCTCATTGTGGTTTTGATTTGTATTTCGCTGATGACCAGGGATGCGGAGCATTTCCTCATGTGCTTGTTGGCCATGTCTATGTCTTCCTCTGTGAGATTTCTCTTCATGTCTTTTGCCCATTTCATGATTGGA